AGAGGTAGCCATGGCGATGAAGGGGAAGCTGCAGAGTGTTATGGAAGTGAAAGCATCAGCTAACAAAGTTTATCAGGTGTGGAAAGCATCATACGACATCCCCAAGCTCACCGCAGAGAACATCCACAAAGTTGAAGTCCAGCAAGGCGATTGGGAGACTACTGGATCGATCAAGTACTGGTGTTATACTCTTGGTAATGAATCAATTGCTGGAGATAAAATCAGTCCATTTCAATATCTAACTCGTTAAACTGAATCGTTGTTTGCTGAAGTTCAATCCAACACTCAATAAGTGAGCAATATGTTTTATGAACCTGCGCAGACGTCAATTGCATATATATAAATAATAATTATTCCAACTATAATCAGATGGGAAGCTGGAAGTTTTGAAGGAGAAGACGTTTTTTGATGACGAGAAGAAGCTGGTGACCGTAATCGGGGTGGACGGCGACCCGATGAAGCTATATAAAGTGTACATAGGCAAGTTTGAGATGAAGCCAAAAGATGATGACGACGCCGGCGGCAATGGCTGCTTTGTGACCATCACGGTCGAGTATGAGAAACTCAACCTTGCCTCCCCGCCTGCCTACAAATACCTGGATTTCCTGGAAAGCGTTGTCCATGATCTTGGTGAAGCTCTTGCTTAATCATCCATCATCACCACCAATAATTACAGATGAGATTTCCATGGTACATCTCATTTGCTTTATATCTAGTTTATGTGTATAATCCAAATAAAAGAAGAGTGTGTTTATGGTCCTATTGATAAAATGGCTTTGTAATGACTAATATGTGGGATGGTAAGTGTTCTCATCACCAACCCTTTGTATTATTTTTTCCAAAAATATCAACCCTTTGTATTCTAAATAAGAGAGGGTTACTTTGGTGAGCTTTTTAAGAGATCCGTTGGTAAGTTGTATGGTCAATGCTACTTCTTATGGTATGAAGATTTGTATTCAAATAATATCTATCAAAATTCACTATCCCAATACCAAGTGTGTATGATTTTTCTACGTATAATTTTTGGGATCGTATTTTACGAAAACAATGGTTAGCGTGCCTTGAATATCAATTTTTGGGACCCTATCCCGGATAATTTCAACCCCCGTATTTTGTTGATTGAATGTGTTTTCTTGCTTGTATGTAGGACTGGAAAAATAAACCATAATGTTTGAAAAATCACAGACCAAATCACACTATACAGTTTGGTCCGGATCATAGGCCGATAAGAATGGTCTGGTTTTGGTCTATGGTCTGCATAATAGGATGTATTGATCTCTTTGTTTTGTCTGATCTAGACCGCGGTTTATCGAACCAAATAGTGGACTCGTCCACCTTTCCAATTCGTGTAAGCAACTCGCTTGACCACTCTCCCAACTACTCAACGACACCCACGTCTCAACACTAATTTTGTGAATCTCGTCCTCTCCTTAATTCATAAGCTACACTTTCTCACAGAGTAGAGAATAGTATCTTCATATGACATTATGTTAATGTTGGTTTGTTTTGACTTTGTGTTTTTGTTATTGACTTGGATTTATGGTGTTCAAATTAGGCATGTGTGTTAGAATTTATGTTTTTTGAAAAAAAATCTTTTTTCTCAATTTTTATTCAATTTTTTCTAAATAAACTACTCATTTTTCGCTCAATGTGTTGTAGTCCAAACTGTACCAGAATATACGTCTGGACCATTTAGTATTTGATATGGTCTCTGGTCTATACTTCAACTTCTTGGTCTGGATCATAGGTCGTGTATATGGTCCTTTCTCGATCAAACTGACTGTTTCCCTGTCCTACTAGTATCATTGTGGCGAATAGGACAGCTAAAGAAGGGACTCAATCCGTTATAGTTTTATTTGTGTCACCTTATTTGTCTACTGTCATCAAGACCAACATCATAGCCATAGGCGGAGAGAGGGGGTATGCTATATGGGAGGTGTCACGAGATACTGGTAATTTTTGGTAAAAAAAAACTCCCCATATATGATATATGTATACAGAAAAAAAAATGAACCCATCACCACTAACTCACTAAGTGATATAACAATGTTCTACCACCACACTACAAGTCATTTCATGATTAAAAGCTAATCGAAATTTATTTATCACACTACAAACAAATTTTCCAATTGAAATATACACAAAAATCGATCTCTCTGTTTTATCCATCAGTTTATTTACTTGTGAAACTATTTTTGACTCTACCTATTGCAATTATGAGTGTAGAAAGAACATTTTCAGGTTTGAGCTATATTAAGAAAAAGCTTTGAAGTCGAATTATCGACCAGTTTGCTAATGATTATTTAGTTGGATACATTGAAAAGAATTACTTAAGAGTGTAAACAACAAATGGGTTTTGCATTTTTTTTTTGTAATATGAAAATGCGTCGTGATTGTTTTTGGAAACAATGATTGTATTAGTTAGATATTTCTTTATTAATTATTTGAATATTATTATTTTAATTACATTTATTATTTATTTATATATTACTACTAATTACTTAGCTTCGAACCTTTTATGAAACAAATGAAGCCATTACTGTGAGCAAATACATATGGGGGTCGTTTGGATTAGGAAGTTCAGGCAGGAATTCTGCCATAATTCCTATCCTTCCAGGATTTCTTTAGATTTCTGAGTTTGGAAAGGCTCCAAAATTAAAGGATTTTAATCAACAGAGATTTTGAAATTCTGCTCATTAGTGATTTCAAAATAGTTGATTACCCCCAGCTATTTCAAAATCTCTGGTTTCTTTTTTTGGATCTTCCAATCTTATCCTTCACCTTCCTCCCTCGTCCTAAATCCACCATTCACGAACACCGCCAACGGAACAATCGGCCACTCATGTCTCTGTTCCGACGATAAGTCAAAAAAGCGGGACGACGGTAGATGCTTCTTCCTTTGACAAGATTTCGAGCTCCTGCTGGAGGCGGGATGGCGGTCGATGCTTCTTCCTCTGACCAGATTTTGAGCTCCCACTAGGCACAATAAGAGTAGCAAAATGGGAAGGGGGCAGTGCTTCTTTCTCCGGTAGCTGCCATACTTTGTTCTGGGTTCTGGATTATTCGTTCCTCCTCTTCAATCGAAGCTTTAGGCTTCAAAGCAGAGGGTTTCTATGGTCTCTACATCATCTTCGTCATTCATTCCGGCTTTTGGGGATTTCAGAAGACTTTCGAGGACTGCTGCACTATCAAATCCCCTAGCAATTCGACTACCTCTAACGATTCGTCTAATTGCAGCAGATGGAAGGGTTCTTTGAGGCATGCAACAAGCTCCTGCGAGAGAAGAAGCCAATCCGAATTTGGGGTTCTTCGAGGCTGGCAAGTTGCAAATCGACATGCAATAGTTCTGGGTTTTGGGTTCGACAAAATTAGGGTTCGGATTGGGGGAGGTGAAAGGAATAAATTGATAGGGAGATACGATTGGAGGCACAACGATGAGAGGAGCAACATGAGAGAGGTAGAAGAAAAGAGGGGTTAGGGAAGATGGGTATCTGCGAAGAAGAAGAGTAGAAAAGGGCAAAGTTGTATTTTGCCATTTTCTATGAAAAATTAAATTGCTGGCTAAGAAATTCTGGAGCCATAAACAAACAAAATAATTGCCGGAAACCCACACTTTAAATTCCTGGGATTTTTAATAAGGAAATTGGACCTGAAATCTCTCAGATCACATTTCTGAATCCAAACGACCTCATGATAAAATCAAAGAGAAACGATGACCATGTACATAAGATACACCATAAGGATCATGTATATTGACATTCACACGTTGAAACTTATTAGTATAAGAAAGGTAAACATTTCTATTTCGTACAAAAACAAAGTGAGTCTCGTTCTTATTAGCCAACAACTCTTACTTGAGGTAAGGGAGCATCCCAAGGAGATGGTAACACCGACCAAAATCATGAATAGTAGGATCAAAGAAAAAATGAGGAATTGGTGAAGCATGAGAAGATGGTAAGAAGAGAGAGGTTTGTAAAAGAAAGTAAAGGAGTTATTGTGAAAGAAAATCAAGAAATAAGACATGTCGTTGGTTAATCTGAAGACATTAAGTAAGAAACATTAATAGTCCTTATGCGAGAGATTTGAACCTCACCACCAATTTTCATTAGTTCAACTTAAGGAGTGGCTACTACATCATATTCAACTATAACACATAAGAGAGAACTTTGGCATGACCTAATGGTCTCTTTGGAAGATGATAATGTTGGAATATGTAAAATTAGAGGAACAAACTTGTAATTATATTTTGTATGTGGACTGAGGAGGACATAATGTTGGGGTTTGTGGTTAAGCCCCTGCGTGCTCGGCAGCCTACTTAAGCCTCATTTTGTTTTAATGGCTGATTAAGCATTCTAAGAATCCTATTAGCCACCATGGAATAAAGTCTTTCTGTAAGGCCGAACCACGTTAAAGTTCCGTGTCTTTTATGATTATGCTCATCGATTCGAGGTAAATTATAACATAAATGATCTTTTCTTCTTGGGCAAGATTCTCTCAAATGAAACTTTCTTATAAAGTGCCCAAGTAGGGTTAATTATAGTGAGGGATGTCATGGACAAGACATTGATTGTTCACCATATATATATGGTAATAGTGAAACAAGTGTGCTGAATATTTAGCTTGTCGATAACATTATTTACTCTTGGATTTCTCGTTGTATATCATTGAGCACTTTGCTTTATCATCAGAAAATTTTATGATTGTTAGCTCCTTTCCAAACCTGAAATAAATATGAATGATGGATATGATGCTCTCATCAAGTTTCAAAAAGCAAAAGGAAATTAAAAAAAAATTGACAATGAAAAGAGCAAGTTGATGTGGCCAATTGCTAAAAAGTAGCGTATACCGGTATTACCAAATATATCGTATTTATCTTTTTTTGGTTGAACAGATCATGTTTTCCCCTTTATTCTTTGAAGAGATCCGAAAATATAGTGAAGAGAGATTGAAGAAGGTACACAGAGCATTGAGTGGGTAAGAATCGCCAAAAATAAAACAAAGATCTTTATCGTCGTCCCGATTACCCCACCACCAAACTCAGTAACCTCATTTGATCTTCACTTCAAGAATATGGTTGGGCCAGCTGCCAACTATAGATCATCAACATATAGTAACGGGTATGAATTGCCGGTAAAGAAGAACATATCAGCACTGGTATTACTGGTTGCTGGGTTGTTGCTAGGCTTTGGTCGTAGGGTTTCATCTCTCGCCATAACTGTCGAGACTAAGGAATGCGTCTACGAGAGTGTCATGTACGAGGGAGACACCGTTTCTGGCAACTACGTGGTCATCGATCATGAGATCTTTTGGGGCACTGACCACCCTGGAATCGACTTCACTGTACGTAATAACTCTCTCTCACTCCCACGTAGTCTTTTATGCACTATTTACCAAGGTTAAAAAATTGTACGATTAACCTTACGCTTAGCCACGTCTAGGCGCAAGGTAATGGCAAAACTCATCGCCTAGGAGTTTTGCGCCTAATCAGATACTGAAATACGTCAATGGAGTAAGGAGACATATAAGTCTCTTCTACACATAACTAGATGAAGCTAGGAAGTCAATATTATAGGAGAAAATTAACGTCAACTACGAAATCAATTTTTTATATCAATATTTTCAATAGCTCAAGAACTTTGTGAGCTATTGAGCTATGATTCTAGGAATTCGTGAGTTATGTTTTTGTCATTAAGTGTTGAGTAAGTTATTAATCATTTTAACTGAAGTGAAGAAATATTGTAGATTATTATTTCATTCATCATGCAGTTCGAATAGGTTTTTTTCTTCCAACGTCTAGACACTCTTAGTTTACGTCTAGACGAACTAGGCGCTAGACAAAGTCTCAACGGCCGTCTTACGCTTAGCGCTTTTTGAACCTTGCTATTTAGTATTGACATGAGAACGAATCTGATTAGCAACGCCTCTTAATTGCATGCAGGCGACGTCGCCAGAAGGCAAGGTTGTGGAATCACACAAAGGGAAAGCAGGGGAGAAGTTTGAGTTCAAGGCCCCAAAAGCTGGAGTCTACAAGTTTTGCTTCTACAACCCAACTACGGCTCCGGAGAGCGTCTCCTTTTACATCCACGTCGGCCACATCCCAAATGCTAATGAAGTCGCTAAAGACGGTAACTTTTATTCGACATTCCCTATCCTAGCTACATGTTGAATAGAAAATTAATATTAGAAAGTTAGGAAATTATAAATAAGTATAAGAAGAACTATAAAAAAAAAAACAAACAAACAATGCTTGCTTTGGGTGTGCAGAACATATGGATCCACTTAGCATCAAGATCGCAAAGCTAAGGGAAGCCCTAGCGAGTGTGATGGCGGATCAAATATATCTGAAAGCTCGTGATGTTCAACATCGCCATAGTATGTCTCTTCCTTAATAGTTACCGTGCGCATTATTTTTTAAGAGAACGGTCTAAAAACTGTGGGAATCCATGAATGTGCAGTGAACGAGAGTACAAGGAGAAGAGTTGTGGTGTTTACCATATCAGAATATTTGGCACTGACTGCTGCCAGCTCACTTCAAGTAATCTACATTAGGAGAATGTTCAGCAAGTCATTTACTTATAACAGGGTTTAGTTCCTTTTTCCATTTTTTTCATCTTATTATTCTTATGAAAAAACTACATAGAGTTAAAGTTAATGTGATGTACAACATACGTAGTCCTTAATAATTATTCATATTTGTGAATGCGTGCATATCTGAGCAGATATTTACTTCACTTCTCTTGCAAAAGTGTACTGATTCAGCCCTAGCTACTTAACCTAGATTAACACATACACATAAGCAATGTAGTCAAAATCGCGTTTTAAAACTTAAAAACTTACGATTTTAGATTTCTAGGTCACTAAAACGCTTCTACATAAAATCTCAGTTTTTATAACTTATGTAGTTAAAAACTCCGCTTTAAAACTTAATAACTTACGATTTTACGCTTCTAGATCACCAAAACGTTTCTATGTAGAAACTCGCTTTTGACTACATTGCACATAAGGGTATGACATCTCATTATGGCCATATGTCAAAATGGATAAATATAATCTTAGCTTATGCTAACTGACTATTAATGAAGGAAAAGAAAATTACGTTTTGCTCTTTGGCTTCTTGAAGCAGCTTAGGCAATTTTGCAGAAGGTTGTTGGTGGTATGGTTCGAATCCAAATCCCTGAACCATCTTTCATTCTCAACATGACATCCTTATCAACCGACAATTGCGTAGGCTAGAATGTGAGCTTATTGGTAAGCAAGAAATGTAATATGACGAATCAAACCCAATAAACAAATTAGATTTAATATGAAAATTCACTTCGAGAATCACATCGTCTATAAATCCAAAATTTCCTTGAAAATAAGTTCCAGATCTGGAAAATTTTCAAATACCTCAACACTCGATATGTGAGCACTCTTATGCTTACGCGTAGGTAGAAGAGGCCAAGAACAGGACTTGACTTTAGTGGTAAGCTAGGTGTAAATATTATTGCTTGAAGCAGTAGATCACCCTCGCACATGAACAATTTTTTCTTCAACTCCATAAATGAGATGTGAACTGACTTAGAATAAATAAATCACCATTTATTAAAAAATCTAAGAGAGAAACACTTCATCACACCTAAATGTTGCAACTCTATGGGTATTTCAATCCCCAATAAAATAGCTCATATGTTGTCGCTCTTATTTACTTTAAACTAAGAAATACAAAAATTATTTACGTCATTTATGAGCTATCCTGTCAAATTAATGAAAAGATAAAATGGTTTACGTGGTTTTCATTGGCAGAACCAACTCACGGTATGAAGGTGTAGATTTTTATTATCTCACAAATTGTACACCTCTACAACTATGCTAATAAACATATCTACGGCAGAGTGTGACCCTACTATGAATACTAAAATTACATGGCTAATTACATTCAAGTACTCATACTTTGTAATACCTCCCATAAATTAACAATGTTGATGCAACATCAATTTGTAGGGATGATAATCGGTTTGTGGTTCACAACTAAGCAAAAAAATGCAAATCAAAAACCAAACTGATAAGCTTTATTAGTTTACCTCTTATTATAGGTTCAGTGAGCGGTTAGGTTTTCGGTTGACCACTAACTAATAACAATCTTTGAAGTATTTTACTTTGTTATTTTAATTTTCTTATTGTGGTCTTCTAATAATAATATTTAATCATACAAATAATTCAAAATAGTCTAATTACAATTCTACGCTGATAAAAAAACAATATAATATACGAAATCCAATTCCAAAACGAGTTCATCTAGTATACTTTAAAGTATCAATGCTTTAATATGTTCTCAAGATCTTGTTCATAAATGTAAGCCATTAGATTTGATTCTATTTATTAATATTTTTTATATATTGGTAAGCGGTTGCACCGGTTGAGATTTTCCTGCTAATCGCTTTCTAGTTCGGGCCAAAAAAATTCTCTATCCTCGACTGGCGAAGCTTTTTGTCTTCTCACCGATATCACCTGCAACTCTTCATCACCACCGTCCTCCAGCAATTAGATCTTCTATGGCCCTTAAGCCCAAGCCACATATTGGATCGAGTTAACGGTTAGTTTTTCGGTTAACCACTAACTCATAACAACCTTTGAAGTATTTTACTTTGTTATTTTTAATTTTCTTATTGTAGTATTTTAATAATAAAATTTAATCATACAAATAATTCAAAATAGTCTAATTACAATTCTACGCTGATAAAAAAATAACAATATAATATACGAAATCCAATTCCAAAACCAGTTCATCTAGTATGATTTCAAGTATCAATGCTTTAATATGTTCTCAACCATTAGATCTTGTTCAAAAATGTTATAGATCTGATTCTATTTATTAATATATATATATATGGTGCCTTCTACGGTACCCCAGGTGAAATCCGGGGTACCGCATACCTTAAGTACGAAAGCGCTATCTAGACCTCGAATTAACAGGATTTTTGGGCATGATACTATACCCTAACCCTTAATGAGTGAACCCTAGGTCCTAATTATCTAAACCATAAACTATAAATTCTAAGATGGTGCATTGATTTTTTTTTCCTATATTTGGACGAATCATAACCGTTGATTATTGTTTCTAATTAAATTGATCTTGGGGTATAAGATTTAGAGAATTAAGACCTAGATTTTGATCTTTAAGGGTTAGAGTATAGTATCATGTTCGAAAGATCAGTCAATTCAAGTTCTGGATAGCGTTTTCTTACTCAAGGTATGCGGTACCCGGAATTTCACCCGGGGTACCGTAGAACTCCAGCTTCACAATATATATATATATATTGGTAACCGGTTGAGATTTTCCTGCTAATCGCTTTCCAGTTCCAGCCAAAACTTTTCTCTCTCCTCGACTTGTGAAGCTTTTCGTCTTCTCGCCGGTATCGCCTGCAACTCTTCATCGTCACCGTCCTCCAGCTATTAGATCTTCTATGGCCCTTAAGCCCGAGTCACATATTGGATCGAGTTCCATCGAGTTCCCTTGTCGTCTTGCAAGAAGGCCAGCCGGAATTGTCCCACCGGCGCTACGTCATTTCAATTTTCAACCACACCTTCGAACAAACAAGAAACATGGGAATTTATTTTCGGTTTTGGAGTCGAAAATGGTGAGGCAGGGGTTGAGAGCCGCTTTTTGGCGGAGTCTCCAATAAGGTGCTCGAAATTTGGTGCGGCTGTGAAGGCGACAGAAGAAGCTGTGAATCTAAAATCGTCTCCCGCAGATCTGTTGCCACTGTCACTGCATTCTAACTAGAGGTGGCAAATGGATTGATCCATGGATTGGTGGATCCATGGATCAAATGGATTGGATCCATTAGATTGGTGGATTCATGGATTGGATCAAGTGGATTGGTGGATTATCCATGAATCCAAATGACATCCTCAACCAAGAACCAATAAGTAAAATGTGAAAAGTTTAGGTACTAAAATGTCGCAATTAAAAATTTTAGGTACAAAACCGTTATTTTCCAATGATATTTTTCGTATAAAAATTAAACTTTGGGTACCAAAATGTAAAATATAAAAAGTATAGGTACCAAACTGTAATTTGTCATTTGGATCCATGGATCAATCCATAAATCCACCAATCCAATTGGATTTGGATCAAATGGATTGGATTTAAATGGATTGGATTAGGTGGATATTTTTAATGGATTGATGGATTGGATTGGATTGAGAATTATCATCTCTAATTTTAACGAAAGGGATCGTTCCAGTCAGTCTTCCGGATTATGTCCAGCCTGAGTGGGGATAGCAGTATGCCAGTATCAACGTAGCTTGGTGGTGCTTGAAGGCTAAAAGGTCTTTACTTTTGACGCCTCGCTGAAAAGTTAAATCTTGTATTGTTTAATCAATTATGATGTACAGAGACCAAGGGTTGGATAAAGTGGGAATGGCTTAATCAAATGCTTTTGTCTTGTTTAATCCCTGAGCTAGCTAGTGTGGTATTGTTGTACCATAGGTTTTAGGTAAAAAGTGAATTTTTTAAAATGTATAGCTATAAGTTGAGTTTGTACCATTAGTCTAAGAACAACAATGAGGAAAAGATTAACAATGTTTCTCTACGTACATAGATAAATGATGAAAATATATTGCCAAATGCAATTCTTTGAGTTGATTTTTTTTTTACCATTATATTTACAAATTTGTACTGTAAGACGTGTACAGTTTGAGTTTGCACCATTACTCTAAAGTAAATGTTAAGTTTGTACCATAAATGAATTTGACGAAATGTGTAGGAACAAGTTAAATTTGCACCATGAAGTAAATGTACAAGTTTAAGATGTACCATAAAGAAATTTGTTCAAAAGGTATATGTACAAGCTAAAGTTGTACTATTGTGTAAAGCTACAAGTTGAAGTTGTACCATAAATAAATTTGTTTGAAAGGTGTAGGTAAAAGTTAAAGTTGTGCTATAGGGTACATGTGCAAGTTTAAGTTGTATCAGGAAAAAAATTGACGAAAGGTGTAGGTACAAGTTGATGATGTACCATAAGGTTAAGGTACAAGTTTAGGTTATATCATTAAAAAAATTTGACGAAATGTGTAGGTACAAGTTAAAGTTGGACCTTGAGGTTCAAGTACAACTAAAGTTTGTACCATAAAGAAATTTGACGAAATGTGTAGATACAATTTTAAGTTATACCATGAGGTTAAGGTACATGTTTAGGTTGTACCATAAGGGTGTGTTTGGATAGGTGTATTTCAAATGTAAAGTATTTGGAATACATATATTTAAAATGCATGTAATAAAAATAACATTTGAATTCGTTGTTTGGATACTCATTTAAAATTTGTTTATATTTCATATTTTATGATATTTTTTTTAATTTTAATTTTCTGGTCACTTATTATAAATTATGGTAAATTATATTTTGTTACCCAAAATTATTTTTCCTTATATGTTAGTACCTAAACTTTTATAAGTTTACAAAAAGGTCCATAAATTTTGGTGGTAGAATTATGTTTTGGTACCTTTATATGTTTTGTCTCACACTATAGTACCTAAACTTTTAAAATGTTACAAATAGGTCCAATCTTTTGTTAGGAGGTATTTCAAATCACTAGTTGTTGAAATATATTTGAAGTTGACAAGTAATACACTAGACATGTATTTGGAAATCACCCCATGAATTTGGCACAAATCCAAATACCAAATATAAT